CCCAGAATTCCCCAGCCAGTCATAGGATTCTGGGGGTTGAAGTCCACTCATCTTAAAGTGGCCAAGTTTGGACAACACTGGCCTAAAGTGAGAAATCAGGGGTCACTGGTCTAGCTCCTCTGTGAGCAGATGGCTAATATTTATACCACCCTATCTCCTGCCAGACAAAACGGGCATTTTTAATCAAAGCCTTATACCTGCTATATGTTCCCAAGCCCCTTCTCTCCCAGTATAATCCCAGAACACCAGGAACCCAGAGGCCAACTGCAGTCCTTCAAACCATTTCGACACAGCTGCAGCTTTATCCTTCTAATCCTATTACACTAAATGGACTTTCTTCTCAGATCAATTGGACGGGTTCCCCCAAAAATCTGCCACTGTCACCCCCTCTTCTCAAACCTACAAGGCTTCCCACTGTCCTGCGCAGTCCAAAGGCTGGCTGGGGCGAGATTACTGTAAAGGAGAACCACCACACCCAGCCTCTAGTCCCCGATATGCAAAGCAGCACTCAGTTACCATAAGTAATTCCAGTGTTTAATTGCACTCAAAGCTTCAGCAGCTTCTGAGTTTCCGTGACAGAGAAGACTTTGACCTTTATCTACCAAATTTACTTCTGGGATCCTGTGAGACCCATTTGCTGGCAGGCAGACCAATATATCAGGATGATTTTTCACACTTTCTTGCTCAGTCATAAGATTTTGGAGGCAAGGCAAAGAAAAAATACAGGAAAAAATACAGTTCCTAGGGAAAGGGTTATTTTCCAAACCTCTCTGTAAGATGCTAAGACCCTTGAAGGCGTTGCCAGCCCTACAGGCCCTGAATCACAAGGGACTATTCGGGCTGGCCGGATCCTTCTCCATTAACATGGCTGAGAGGTGAGTGCAATCAGTGGGCTGTTTGGGGGCCAAGGAGAATTGGCTTTCCCAATAAAGCGCTTGTGCACTCATTTTGGAAGAGAATCCGATAACCACACTTGCCTCTGAGTGCCTAAAAGGAACACCTCCTCTCCAGAAGCAAACTATGGTGCCAGCCTTGCTAATTTTGTAACTAGCTAGCAGAGGGTAGAACAGCAATTTGAAATCTCTCCAGGATGAAGAAATAAATTGATACCACCTTCTTGATAGGGATATATTGTGTGCTAACCCACCCACCTGCCCGCCATTCCCTTCCCAGGGACAGAGGCTTCCAACTCCTCTTCACAGCTTATGAAAGGAAAGCTGGAGAACCAGTCAAGTCCCAGGAATGAAATGGGTTTAAAAACCCATCTCCTGCTTCTTTTTTTAAAGAAAGATACACTTCCTCCTCTTTTATTGGGAAAGGTCTCCCTAACAGCAATCTTGAGCCAGACAGAGGTGAAGAAACCCCTCTTGGTGGACCCCTGAACACTGCTTTGATTGGTGGGTCTCTTCTGCATCACGGGCCTCCCAAAAGAAAAAAAATGAAACTAAATGCAGAACCACCCTTTGCGTAGAACTTAATCTCCTTTTCCACTCAGAAAGTGGGGTCTGCTCTCCTCACTCCCCCAAAGGTCTGTGAAATCAGTCCACACTATTGTCCGAGACCCCAGACCCAATCCAGTCGAATCTGGGGAAACAAGTCCGGCGGCACTTTTTCCGATTCCCATGTTTTACGCAAAGGGGTCAGCTTTCGTGACCTATGGCTCCCTGGCTCAGAGGTAGAGAGTGGCTAGACTGATATTAAACCACAGCAAAATACAGCGAAAAACACTGACTTTCAGAAAATGAGGAGGTGCCCGTGAGCCCCTTTTCCGACCCGCAGATTTTATGGAAGGGCACCCGCTTTTGGGAAACGCAGCTCGCCCCTTCTAATGCAATGTTATCGAACGGCGCCAGCCTTCGGGCGCGACCGCTCGCTTCGTCCAAGCCCCTCCACGCCTAGCGCGGACGAG